CTCCGAGCCCGTCCGGCCGCTTACAAGCGGGCAAGCGGTCAGCCCCGCTGAGCTGAGTCGGGTGGTGGCGAACACACGGGCCGAAACGTCCTTTTAAAAGTATTCCCGAGCGTGGAGCAGGGAGACGCCTCCGCTTCAGCCTTTAAAACCTCTAAATCCGCGTTTAACAAATGGTTTTGGGCTCGGAGGGCTTGAATTGCTCCTCGGCTTCCTCTGCTCTGCAAAGCGCCCGTCCGGGGCATTTAGCGCTCCCACGAGCCGGTTTTGCTCCCCACGCAGCCGGTTCAGGGTTTGCTTTCACCGGCAGGTCCTTCAGAAAGGACACGTCCGCAGCCAGCGCCGCGCCGCGCCGTGCCGAGAGCGCTGTGCTCTTCCCAGGGTGAAATCTTCGGCCCTCCAAGGACTGTTCCTTGTCCCTCTCTTTCCCCGCCTGTCACTGGTGCTAGGAGATCACGTCCCCCTCTCCTCTTTAGAGACGCTCCTGTTTATCCAGAGCGCAGATGAAATGCACTCCGCGCTGCAAATATTTGGCAAAACCTCTTTAAAAAAAAAGAAAAGAAAAGAAAATTAAATCCCGGGTCGTAGCGGCTAAAAGCAGAAAGGCCTTCTGCAAGGTGTCTATTTTTAGCCGAAGGACGACTCGTATGAAATCTAGACCGAACAAAAACATTTAAACTAAGTCATAAAAACAGGTGTTCCCTGGTAGCCACAGGAAAGAGGAGGATAGTCCCGGTCTTTGGGCCTTTGACGCCCTCTGGTGGAGACTCACAACAGTCATCGCTCCCGGCTCGGGGTTCGTGGAGAAGGATAAATGAGTGGGGCACATAACGTGGGGGGGGTTCAACCAGGCAGAACACGGCCCCCTCCTGATGATCCCTCTGGCAGCACCCTGCACGGCAGGAGGCTACTGAGGGAGCTAGAGCAGAGAGGGCTGAATGGAAGGTGTGGAGCGAAAGTTAAGATCCAAGAGCTTTCTTTTTTTTCTCTTTGAAACAGCTGGTCTGAGAAACCCGGTGTCCGCTGGCAATCGCGACTACTTCACGTGAAGTGAACGTTACAGAGGGGTTTGGGGGTTTTGGTGCGCTGCCTGCACTGATCAGCTCTGATTCAGCAGAGACTTAGTGCCAACTTATCAGCCGTCCAGCCCCGGGGTGCTGTCCCTGCTCCCCCTGCCCCTCTGAGAAGGGAGCGTGTTGAGTACGTCCTGTATTACTCATAGGGTTGGTCTTTCCGGGTGCGGCTTCGTGATCTGGATTCATCATCCAACTAGAGAGCCCTCGAGGCAACCAAAACACCTGCAAATAAGTCAAGTTAGTGTGGGAAGGCAACACTTGCCGCGTGATTTCCATCCCAGCGAGCTGACCTGGTCGATCCCCCAGCCAGCCCGCTCGCCTTCCATATTGGAGCAGAGGAGGTGCTGGCAGCGGTGTGACTCATGCCTGCGTCGGAGCAGATCAACCGGCGATTCACGCTTTAAAAAAGCAAATCCAAGCACTTATGGGAAAAGGTCATCTCGCATTAAATTCCGTGGCGCGATTGGTATTCCGGCGCCGTTTCTGGCGGAGTTTATAAGCGGCCAAGTCCCTGCAAGGTTACAATCCCCCTGTCTTTTTGGACACTTGGAGTAAGTGCGGGTTCTCTCCTCCGCGGTAAGTCTCCTTTAAACTCTTCTCACTATACTCTGTTTTGCAAGCCGCCAGGAGCCTGTTTCAAGACATGGGGCTTTTCCCTAAAACATCTGTATGTGCTGCCCTGCCCAGGGAGGAATAATGGGCATTTTGAGACAGCCAGTGCCTTGGATGCTTGTGCTAACCTGTTACTTCACTTCCAGGCATCGTCCAGCGAGTCTCTGCTTCAGGATTTGTATTTTTTTTTCTCTCTCTCTCTAAAAGAAAAAAAAAAGAGAAGTAATTTGCCTGTTTGCTATTGAAATCACTGAAGCGTTGTGTTTAGACGCGGGTTTACATCCACGTAGTGCAAATGAATAAACGACTATTATCGACTATTGGCAAAAAAATAAGTTATTCATCCATTTACTGCGACCTTGATATTTTTTACAATGGGTGTAAAATAAATCGGAGCCAGCCGTGGGCAGGGACAAAGAGATAAGCGAGGCATTGATCTGGCGGCTCTCGATTAGTGAACCCAAACTGGTTACTGGAATGCAATGTCTGACACTGAGGAACTTAACAGCTGGCTGGGAGCAGGGTTAGCCCACAAAAGGCTGGATGTCGCTATGTTCACCTAGGCATCCTTTGGTTACCGTTGGTAAAAAATAAAGCAAACGCTGAAATACGAACGCCATTGTTCAGTTGTGCGTGCACGATACCGTGTGGTCGTGTGTAACATGCCGATGGATCTGTGCACATCCATGTACGCTATGCATGTACCTGTGCAAGAAGGAAACATGGCTTTGTTATGTGCCAGCCAGAAGGCTATTAAACCACCAACCCGTCTTGAATGTTATCCAGGCTGGCGAATGTTTCGGGGATTAGCTGATAAAGCACACAATGGCAGCAAGGATTCTGTGTGGGATCGCAGGTCATTTTGGCTGGTAATTTAAAAGCGTGTTTTGTAAGTTGGTTTCAATTTGACATGAGCCATAATTGCCCTCTTCAGTGGCCATTGATAGAATTGCGATAGACTTCACGGTCTGCTACATCCATCATTTCGCGCAGGATGTAGCGCTTCAAGATCCAGCAAGAGACACGATTTAGCTCTTCAGCCTATCGAAGCGTTTTCTAATTGCCATATTTGCATGTTACGTGTCTTTAAACTAAATAAGTGACTGTGCCTTCAGTGAGCTTCCCTTTCCATCGCTTTATTGGCGAGTGTTTTTCTGCCTGAGACACGTCGTATTAAGGACTCTTCCACTCGAGGTGCAAGCCTTTGTGCTGGCTTCTTAAGCCACTGCCACTTCTTAAGGAGTTTAATTGCTTATTGTTGGCTGCAGACTCAACCCTGACTATTGCATCTAAACAGGACTCCGGGCTCGTCCCTCCAGGAGAGCAGATCTCTACAGCCGCCTTGTCTTTCCTTCCAGTAAATTCTTTACTGTCCACCCATCAGCGGAATATTGGAGGAAAAAACGGGATCCAAGGTCTGTGACTTTCTGAACTGATGGCATCCTCAGCTCCATCCTCCTCTAACGCCACTCAGGACCCCACCCCAACTAATTTACGACCCACAAGTAGGTTTTAACCTTTCTCTTCGTTTAAATCTTTTAGATGTTTTCTCCTTTTAGGCTGGCGCTTCCTAGACACCAAATTCGCAACCAAACGACAAGCCTGGACCTCCCTGTTCAGACATCGCTCTATACAAAGACACCAGATTTCTGGTGTTAAAATCAGAGGCTGGTCCTTAGGAAAAAATGAGCGCGCGCGCCCAGGATACAGGAAAACCTCGCTAACCAGTGCTGGTTTTACTTGCGGGCCCACTTAAGAGACTGACAAAACAAACAAAAGCCTCAATTGCTTAGAAAATCGAGATTTTCTCGATTTTGCTTCTTTTTAGTGGGGAAACTGAATCTGCGAGAGAGTGAAGTTACACCACTGGTGTGTCCGCCCTCTCCCATTTTGTAATGCTAATGCTACTGCTTCCTTCGAGCTCACATGGAAGCCTATAATCAACTGAAATTTGGATGCTAATTGTAGCTTTTCAGAACCCAGGAACCCTAATTGCTCCGAATTTGCTTTGAGTTATTGAGGTGTGAGTGGGAAGCAGAGGACGCTGCAGGTGGATAGAGAATGGGTTTATAGCTTTGCCTAGACAATTCAGACAATCGGCTACCCCCAACATTAAAAAAATAGGAAAGCTGGATGTCATAATCGCCCCAGACAAAGGAGAGGAGGGTGGGCAGCATGAAATGAAAGCTTGGCAGGCACAGCAAAGCAGGGAATAGATTTACCCTGAAAGGGCTGCCTGGGCTATGAGGCATGAACATCATAGTCATTATTGTGATTATTCTGCAACTGGAAAGAATAGGGGGGGGGGAACAAAACTGGGGGGAAGACTGCTCTTTTGGTGTGAGATTTGGGTGTGAAGATGCTGGATGTAATGAAGAGATAACCTTTAACAAGAGGCAAAATGTCTCCTTTTCCTTTCTATTGACGATGGGTTGGCGAGAAGCGGATGGGGCAGGGGGGGGGTGGGCTGTTTGTTTCATCCATCAGCCATAGGGACGTGTAAGGAAATGGTCCTCTGAAAAGACTCCGAGGACTAGACGTCGCCCCGGGGTGTTGCTTCGCCCCTGCCCCGGCGGCAGCGTCCTCAGCTGCGTGTGCCTGGCTTTGTGCAGGGCTGCCATGTTCCTGGGGCGGGCAGCGGCTCTCCTGCCCGCGGGCCCCTTACCCCAGTCTGGCTGTCAGCCTCCATCCAGCCCTCAGCTGCGGGAAGTGTTAGAGCCTTTCCGCCGGGCTGTAGCTCTCCGCTGCTGCCGGCGGGGTCCCCGTCTCGCCTGACCCCTCCGTCCCGTGCGGACCCTCCCCTCCGCCTGAGGTCACCCGGTCCAGCCCGCGCCCCCTTCCC